AAAAACCTCACGATATTTTCTTTCCAGGTATCTTGTGAAAAAAACTATCAAGGATGGAAGGTTAAAGTTTGGTGATGAAAGCAAGGCCCAGATGAAGATCGATTCAGACCCATTGCAAGTGGCTTATGCCCATTACACTGAACCAGAAGATATCAATATGATCGAGGTTGATGAAGGCTTCCATGCCAAGAACACCATGAATGGAACTACTGAAGGTTTCAACGAGGGTGTTAAAATGGCTGAGTCTACTGAGGGCCTTAGGCTCAAGTTACAAAAGATTAGGATTACTTATGGTCCTAATTTCGAAGTTAACATGGTTGAACTGAGTAGAGAAGCTTACTTGAAGGCTAACGAAGAAAGCATCTAGAGAGAATAAGATCAAATGAAGGTAACCTACCCCAAGATAAATGAAAATTTGCTCGAATTCCTTTTTTAATGCCAGAAGAAGAATTAGGAGGCGCTGATGTGCCCTAGGTTCAACTTCATTTATGACAAAAAGACTGCTAAAAATTTAGAGAGAGTTCGAATAACCCGTCAAAGAGGAAACTAGAAGGATATTGGGGGAAATATGTTTTCAACAATATGGGAGTTCCCCAAAAGCAACAAGTGGGAGGACCAAACCTCCGGGCGAACAAGCAAGCTTAGTTTAAACCAACTACTAACGCCCCAACAGACAAGTGGGCGAGGCCTGCAGAAAACAAAGGTCAATGACATAGGAAATGGTGAAGCTTTGAGTTTGGTAGAGAATCTTCAATTTCTTATCGAAGAGAGTTCCAGGTGTCAAAACAACAGGCATACAAATATGAGAATTACAAAGGAAACAAACTAATGTTAAGATCCCAGTGGAGAAGGCACCAAAGGAAGAAGAAAGCTGAGAGGGAAGAAGCTAAGAAAGGCATGACATAGTCTAGTACCAACCAACCTTAATTCACCAATGAGTTCGAAGAAAAAAGGCTAGTTGGGAGAAATTTTTTCTCTCATAAAAGGGAGAAACCTAAGGAAAGGGTACTAAAACGACCACTTAATGATGAGGATATGCTCACTGATGATTTTGATTCAAGTTCTGAATCATATTTGTGTATTAAATGCAATGTAGTTTTTGTGTTGCCTGTCGAATATGACCAAGTAACAGAGATCGAAGAAACTGAGGAAGAAGACGAATCAGAAATGGCTAAGCACAGGCCATTATGCTATTATGTGATGAATAATAGGGAGGTTAAAGAGCATAATGCATTTTTTTAAAGGTCCGACAAAGGAATAAAGAACCACTTGAAGCCTCTGTTCATTAGGGGAAAGTGGAAAACACTAGAGTCAATAAGATCTTAGTGGACGGGGGAGCAACAATCAACTTGATGCTGCATTTCATACTGAATCGAATTGGGATGTTCTACATAGACCTAAAACCTTAAAACATTGTCCTGTCAAACTATGAAGGAAAAGTTGTCCATACTTTATGAGTTATCCAGGTTGACCTAATAGTGGGAACCATTACTAGGCCCACTATGTTTATCGTTATAACATCAAAGGCTAATTATAATGTGCTCCTAGGATGGGAATGGATTCATGGCATTGGAGTAATGCCATCTTTGCTCCATCAGAAGATATCAATTTGGAGGAAGGATGGTATAGTAGAGAACATCGAATCTGACTAGAATTACTTCATGGCTGAAGTAAATCATATGAACAATCATCACTTTGATCAAAACTTGGAAAACATAGGACCTTGCAACCCTACGGGTCATGCATATTCGACATCAGATAAAGCCCTTTACTTCCTCAACCTACATCCAACCCATGTATTCCAATGGGATTGAGAGACTATAGGGGAAGAAGATGAAGTTGAAGGGGTACCTGGACTCTGGTGTTGTAACCAGTTTTAAAACAAGAGTCTCCACCCTTAATTTTTATCCTAAGGAAGGGAATATAAAGGTTAACCATAATTTTTTTTATAGATTCTATGTTTTTGGACTCGATTTTAGACGAAGGGAAGGTGTTAGGAACCCCTCATCTACCTTTTTCACAAGGATTCTAGGGTTTATACTTTAAAGGTTTAGGGTAAGAATTTTAATTTTTATTAGGGGAACTCACCACGATTTTAGTTGTGTGCCTACATATCCTCTTAGGAGGAATCAAAGTCTCAATTTGTAGTTCGTATGGGTTGGTGTTTTTTATGGATTACGAAGATATTTCGAGTTCTCCTTATACTTAGTCTGGGTGTGTGAATAGCGGGGATTTTGGACAAAGCACATAGTTAATTAAAATATACTCATAATCCTTTTTAAAAATCAATTGTCGAATTTAATTTGATTATGAAAAAGGATTTATTGGTGGTTAAATATTTTTTAGTGTATTAATTGTAAAATGTATTTATTAATACATGATAAAAAATGATTTTTAATGCAATAAAATAAATAAAAATATTTGAATGAGTTTTAGAAAATAATATATGATTTATGATAATAATAAATATACTATTATAATTAAAAAATAAAAAATAAAAAATAAAAAATAAAAAAAGAATTAAATTAATACGCATGGGGGTATTGATTTAGTTAATGCGGTAAAAAGAAGAGGTGTTAACAACATGGGCCAAAATCCAGATATTGGATTTAGCCCAACAACGTAGGGGGGTGTGGGTTTTGAAACAACCGACTGAACATATCATCGAGATGATGAAATCAATGAAGTCGTCATCAAACGTTTTTTATCCCATATGAAGGAAAAGGTAAACATCGAGTAAACCTGAGAAGGGTGAAATTAAGGTCGAACTGCCAAGAGATCGGGTTAGGGAGTCGGTTACGTGAGGGGAAGGTCCCCACACGCCCATAGTACTCTATGGTATCTACTCTTGTTGTCTATCTTATGGGTGTGTTAGAATCTATATCTAGGCTTAAGAGCTAAAAGAAAATCCAAAGAGGGAATGCATGCAAAAGAAAAGAGAAAATAATGTAGGGAAAAATAAAGTTGTGCTCGTTCGGGCCCTACCCCAATGCCTACATATCCCTTTTAAGGAATCAGAGCAACCGTAGTTCAACTTACATCTTTTTGGTTTGTTTGTGTTTTTTAATGAACAATGTTAAATTCAATCATTCCACTATTGCTCAACCATTGGAGACTTACGCATCTGTAGTAGAAAGGAAATAACATGCTCTCACTTAACCTGGTGTTCTCAAAAGAAAAAGTTCCTGAAGGCGGATGATGTTACGTTGCGACTCTTAGAAAGTAGACATGGTGCAACCCGACCCCTGGGGAATTACGCGTCGTATTGCATAGAGTATAAAAATGACACATCCTTTTCAAGTTCTTAAGAAAGGCTCGAAGGAGGAAAAAGTTTATATTCGTTGATATATTTTACCTTAAAGAAGGATTTATAAGTTGTTAGATGTTTTTTGTAATTTCCAAGAAATTTTTTTTAGTCTTAATACAAGGATGCAAAAGAAAGAAATACATCTAAGGGAGACTAACTTAGATTTATCCCTAACGTTATCATACAATGATTAATCCTAAGGTTGAGTTTTGAAAGGGAAATCTCTAACCTATGTTAGCATGCATGGATTATAATCCTAATGTCTAACTCGCAAGCTACTATAATCGAGCAATCCTAAGGGAGCATAGAAATTCCTATTCTAAGGGATCATGGTATGTACAAGGATACAAAAAAAAGCAAGCTCAAAAGAGCACACACATGCCACGAGTAGCGCGCACTAACTTAGGTAAATGCCTAACCAAGATATAACTGATCGAGGTAGGTACACAATATAGTAGAGATGTTTTAGCCAAGGGGTTATATCAACCGAGGCAAATAAGCGGGGAGGGGATAGAAGTCGAAAGCACGAAGCATCAACATTTACCAACGTGAGCTCAAGACAAATTGTGGGGGATCAATTACAGATACATTTTCAACTTGACGACTCCATAACAAGATCTGCACGACTCTGAAGCACCGACGTACAACATGAGCTAAGGATGACACAGACTAGAATGTGCGGGGGTCGATTACAGACCGTCCCTACTCACCTCCTTTTGAGGACTTATCATCTATAATATAATGCGGGAAAAAATGTAAACACGCGTGCGAAACACATACTTAAAGGTTGGATTTTAAACAACCACAATTAGCATAAAAAACGGTGCTTGCTACAGGATTTTAAACAGCGACCTTGAGCGCACGCTCTTTATTTCATGCTTCCTACTTCACATGATTTCTAAAAAGTGGTAAATGCCCATACTATACACGATCTCTAGAAAGCGGTAAATGTAGAAATGAGGTAAACGAGAGAAAATACCGAACAAACAAAAGTTTGTAACGCCGCGAGCAAAAACAGATAAACTCAGAAAACTTCGAGTAAGCTTCATCAAGCAAAGAAAAGAGCCAGAAATCAAATGCCCGGAATAAGCGTCGAAATATCGTCGATGTGAAAATAAATCATAATCAGAATCTCAAGCACATCCACATATCACACGATAAACCTGCATAAAAATCAAATCTCAGTGAGCAAAGGAGAATTACAAATCTCAAGTAATCGGATAATCCCGATTTAATTCCAAAAATCAAGTATAAACAAAATATACCCAATTTTTATATTTAATTTTATCATTTTTATCATGTGAAGAAAACTCAAACAAGTCTAAACAATTAACCAAAATTATTCAAAAGAAATTGAAAATAGTAAAAACAAACCTAGGGGGTGGAAACTTAATCCAAGAGCGTGATGTAGTATTCTGGGCGCTAGGCCCATCAGGATAGAGTCCACAAACCTTTTTTGTTGCAAGCTTCTTACAATACAAAGTTCTAACGGCCCATAAGAGAGCAGAATCCAGTCCAAAACAATAACACCACAAAAATCCAAGTCCAATTTAGAATTTTATTTGATTTAATTTTCATAAATATTAAAACAGAACTAAAAACTAAAATCAAAAGAAATTAACAGTGAGAAGAGATAGCAAACGCATGCGTTTTGTATGTGATAGGGTTTACCATAAGTAACGCTTCAACTTTCATGAGAACTCATCATTATCCCTTCTTCAATAGCGCGGATCATCATCCTCTTCATCCAAAATCTCCACCGCGACACCTCATCTTCGTCCCTCACGTTCTTATTCTTTCGCAGTTCCACTTAACACCTCCGTCTCGAATCTCATTCTATTCCTCATCTCTGATTCTCAACCTCAGCCTCACTCTATCGTGGCAATTTTGCTCTCCAATTCAAACAATAGACACGGAAATAGTGTACATGATGAGGAAGAGGAAATGCTTACCTACCGGAGAACTCCCATGGTTCTTCAACAGTGGTGAAGACGAGAAAACTCGAAGAAGTAAGCTTTTCAGTTCTTTGCTTCTGTAGATTCTGATTTTGTTTCTTCACTTGTCTCTTCTACTTGTTTCTTCTGAGAAACTCTTCTGTTCGTGATTCTTTTTCGTTTACATTTTCTATTTTTTTTCTTTTTCTATACGTTTTGTTTCCGCATGTTCTGTTGCGTACGATCGAAATAGTGATGTTTTAGTGGCGGATTTTATTGCAGAACTATCACTGAAAATAATGGAAGATAAAGTAGATGAAGATTGAATGATGGTGATGATGCTGAAGCAAGTAGAAGAATTGATGGTATAAATATGAGATATTTATGAGATATTTTGTTATGATTCTGCTAGAGGTTGAAGAATGAGCAGAGAAATCAGCGAATGTAGAGAGATTTTTTAAGCTTTTCTGGTGTGATTCTTCTACTGGTTTGGAAGCTGAAGATGGGAGGAGAAGAGAGCTTTTTTTTGTGATTCTTCTTTGAATTCTAAAGAATGAGAATTGATAAGAGGTAATTCTATTTTTATATTCTATTTTCAGTTTGTTAGGATTGAAGAACTCTAAGCCACTGATTTTTGTTTTCTGTTATGAAATAGACGGATAGGATGAGAGTCGTTATAATTTCTTTGACAGTAGAGATCAGTTGGTTAACAGTTAACAAATTTGTTAAGTAGTTTGAAATCCTGTTTGGGAGGTTACAGTTAAGAGGTTAGAAATACAGTTAGCTGTTAACTCTGACTTGCTGCCATTTTTCCATTGTTTTCTAATTTTTCTGGTATGAACAAATGCAGGGATGATTTATTGATGAATAAAACCTGAATTTTTCCTTTGAACAATATCTTGATTTCTTCTCTACCGAGATGAAAAAGTCATGGTTTTCTTTTCTCTTTATATTTTCTGTTCTGAGTTCTTGCTTCTAATTTTGAGCAGAGGAATTGGTTTAGTTTTCTTGAGTGCAGGGCTGGTTCATGTAGCAGCCTGATCTTTTTGTCGAACAAAACCATTTTGGGATCTGGTTTATGAAGTGGATATCGTGGACAACTTGCATCAATTTTGGAGGATAAGTGCGATTTTGAAAATGATATGTGAAGTATGATAAAACTTGGCCGAAGAAACTTTTTAGGATGTAATACAACTTGAACTTTTTGTAATGTTTCTTTGTAATTTTGAAATGGTGTATGGTGTATTGAACTTGAAAACTCGGTAATGTAATATTAAAGTCCTATGAACACATGGTTCTCCTTTTGTAATGACTCTCTTCTTGTAGTCTTTGAAGTTCGATGAGAGATTTTCATCTAAAGCAGACTTCTTTTTCTCTTATTACATAATCTTTGACCATGGTGCTTGTACTTGAATTTGAGTTGAATGAAATTAAATGGCACTTGATGATTAAACCTGAACAATAAGCTTGAATGAAACTTAAAGTTTAAATCAACACTTGAGTGAATCTTGGTTGAAATTTATAATGAACCTTGAATGGATCTTTGAATCCGTACTTGAATGACCTTGAGGCATGTATTCAATCAAGTAGCATTTTTCCACATGCGCCAAATTTGAATCTCTTTTGAATTGATTTGCACCAAATGAAAATGCCTCATTTTACCAAATGAAAATCCATTTTGAATGATGTTTGCACATGTCGGACATGTACATACTTAATAGCTTGAAATGACACGAAATAATGTGTTCCTTAGCCTTAACATAAGCTTGAACATCTGATCTTGAATTCGAAAAGAACTCGAAATGATCATGAAATCATTGAACATTGAATTTGAAGTTTTCATGATATATGAACTTAAAATACCCTAGTTGCTTGGCCTTCAAAAATGGTTGATGAACGCTGTTGTACCCCAAAATTTTCCCTCTCATTTATCAAGAATTTTCTTACAAGATCTCTTTGACTCAAGATTGGATTAGGGTTTGGTCAGCTCAAGTTATCTCATCTTACACTGTTGACCAAAAATTAGGGTTTGAGATTGTACACGGATTTTTAGACTATCAATGCTTCATATGACTTTCAAACATCATTATGGACCCCTAATATTACTCATGACAGGTTTCAAGCCTTGAATCACATTTTTGATCAATCAATGTGACAGTTGACCTAAAAATCAGCTGTATTGGGGAAAAAGTCAACCATGGTCAATTTACAGTCAAACTTCATAGTTTTTGATCCACATCAACATTTTAGACTCACATGTATCATTTGATCATGTTTGGATCACAATTCCTCAAGAAATTTGATCAAATTATCAAAAGGGCAAAATGGTCAAAATTAGGGTTTTGACTAAGAAAGGGCAATTTCTGATTTTTGACCTAGCAAATGACCAATTGGTTTGAAGCATGATTTCAAGGGTTCAATTGCATCATCTTGACCTAATTACATGGTGTAAAACATTGCAATTCTATTGGATTGATAGATGAAATTTGCAATCAACTGATAAAAAGTCAACTGTATACTGAAAAGTCAAACTTTGACTTTTTTGTCAAAATCAAGTGCCAAGGATCATAATTTATTAAAACACGTCAAAATGTGAAACTTGTTCATCAAGGAATCAAAGATTGAAGATTTGGTTTTAAAATTTGAAATTTTTCTTAACTTAGAAATTTTCCAAGTATAGAAAATTTCTTATTTTTTCTCAATTTTAAGCCATTTTTTTACCATGATACAAGGTGATTCAAAGGAAATTCCCAACATGAAAGTTGTAGATCTACATGCAATCTACAACTTTCATTCACACATTTTTCCTTAAATATTCTTGGATCTCAAGATATAATTTTGTGAATACATGCCCATGAACTAAAATAACTTAGTGAAATTTTGCCCTAATTTAGGCAGGTTTTTGACCCAACTTCATGGAAATTTTTCACCTAGTTCCAATGGGAATCTTTAAATGAATTTCAAAGATGAGTTATATAGCACATTGTAAGCTTTCCAAAATTTCCAAGAACTCCTTGAGATCATTTTTGAGTAGGGAGAATCGAAGAGATGAAGTTGGCAATTTCTCACTTTGTTTTCAAGCCATTTCATGAAGAACAAAATTCAAATATGAACCTATGCTGCCTAATCCATGCTTTACAGGTCTCAAACTTGTTTCTCACTTCATAATTTATTGCTTACTCAGTTTAAAAAGCTTTAATCCAAGCCCAAAAGTCTTTATCCAAGCTTTAATTCCATAAATAGCACAAAGTTGCCATTGCCATTTTGGAAAAGTATGACTTTTGCAACTTTACAAATCTTGAGCATTGGACCTGTCTTCTCTGCACATACAAGTCCTATAAACCAAATACAAGTTGTCTAGGATTGGTACCAACTCCAAGCAGGCCAGTACACGCATGTGGAGACTTTTCCCTTCAGTTTACTTCAAAAGCAAGAAAGAGTGCAAAAAGGCTACAACTCAAAGATCTGTTGTGGAACTGACTTGAAACTCTCTCCATACTAATACACAAACATATTACAACTTAGAACACGATTGAAAAAGGCCTGAAATACTCCAAAAATCCATATCACCAAAAAACTATTAAAACTTGCAGTTTGTGTCCAAGCATAGCAATCCACAAATTGGCTCGTGCGTTTCAAGTTTTAATGATCCAAACACTTTACCTACTTCATATCTAAGTGATCCAGACCATCATCCCTGCACTGTAACTCCTCATTCTTCATCTGCCATTTTTTTCCAAGCGCGCAGGTTGACTTGGATAGAGAGTTCCAGGCACTTCCAAAGCAAGGCAAGGATTGGAACATACTCAGGGAGGTTCAAGCAAGCTAAAGCAACCTTCAGGCCTTCCTAAATCTCACTAAAACTCCATTCACGATCTCAGCTGAAAGAGGTAAGAATTACAACTTCTATCTCTTCATACAAGCATCCATTGGCCACGATTTGTGAAAGAAAAATGTAGATATTATAGTGCTGAAACCAACCATGTGCATAGATTCCATTTCTGTTTATTATGTGTAGAGAATTTTGAAGTTCAAATTTCTGTAAAAATTAGGTTTAAAATTAGGGCTTTCAAAATTCGTTTTAATCTTTGATTGTTAGTTTCCATAAGTTACATGTCTGAAAATCGTGGAAAGAGAGCTATCATTTTTGTTCTGGACTGGGCCCGACAGGCCCAAAGGCATTACTAAGGCCCAGTCCAAAGGGACTCACTAAGGACCACACTGGGCAAAGGGGGTCACGTCCATGCCCGACACCCTGATGTCCACCTCGACATCTCGGTGTCTAGCCCCACGATGAAGTCCCACTCGACAGCATGCCGTCCAGCTCTATGTCCTGGCTTCCAGCTCGACACCCGCCGTCCAGCTCGAGGTCTTGGCGTCGAGCTCGGCACCGTGCTGAGCAGCTCGACATGGTCTCGAGCTAACTTGCTAGGGCAGACTTAGTCCTCCATTGCCCCAACGATACTCCGGAAAGACCGCGTCTCCGTCCGCCCGCACTTCATGCAGCATATCCAGGAAGGGGACCACGTGCTGGTCCCCACTACCCACGTAGAACTTGGCAGTTCCTCCATTGGGCCAAATCCGCCCGGCCCAATGAAGGAACCTTGGCCCAGCGCTGGGGGCTATAAATACCCTCTGCTTCCAGAGGGTCAGGTATTCATCATTCTAACCTCAACTCTATTATCTGCTAGTACTCCCACTGACTTTAGCATCGGAGTGCCTTGCAGGTACCCCCCTCCTCGTTCAAAAAGCCTTCAGCTCGGAGTAAGCCGTGACGGTCCAAACCTTCTGATCAGGTCAGATCAGTGGCGCCGTCTGTGGGAAACAGCTTCCCCGTCTAACGAACAGTTTCAAAGACCAAAGCTCAATCCATTCACTGTCATGGCTACCCCAACTCGTGAAGAACAACACACCCGCGTCCTCGACACCAACAACGGTCTCGCGGACAAGAATGGGCATCTGGACAATCCCACTGATGCCGGCCACAATACCATCCCCGTGACAACCGCCCCTGGACCTTCCACTCGCAGGGACGGGAACACTGCGTCTTCCTCGACACCTCCTCCAAGACTCGAAGACGACCCGGAGGCTCTCGCCTATCGCC